CCCCTCCCTCCCCCCCCCCGGTCATCGCCTAAAGTTCTTAAAATTTCTCCTCCAGTTTTTATTCATTTGCGTTGTTTTGAATATTTTTCGCCTATTTGGCGGTTTTTAAATATTTTTCGGCACATTTGGGACGTTTTAAAAAATGCCCGATCAGGGGAGGAGGCTTCCACGGGGTGCCTTTGCAACACGAAAAGCGACGGCCGCTTGCGTACGGAGAGACCGTAAAGCAGTTGTGCCGTGAACGATGCATTGTGTGACTGATGGTTGATGGCTGTGTAACCTTTCAGTGACTGGTTCTTCTTGTTGACGAAACGAAAAGCGATGCGCGCTTCCGTGTGAACACAACGTAGCGAAATCTATCATACATTGACCCAATCGTGCTGATTTGGGTTGACGGCACCGTCAACTTTCGGTAGCTGGTTCTCGTGTTTCACAGAGCGCAGATCGACAGCCGCTTGCGTGACGACGGAGCAGACGAAGGAGCACTCACACACAGACTTCCGCGGCGAACGCACCAGAAACCCGGGAGAAAACAGCCGAAAACCGATGTTCCGGGTTTTTGGTGCCGTTTTTCGCGCGAACGCGTGAACGGATTTGAGGCTCGAAGCAAACTCGTTCCTCGCAGTGACCCTCTCCACAGATATCCGAAGACAGATCTTGAAAAAACGTTCTAGAAAAAAAGTTGGTTTACCGACGTGAAACTGGGGCTGTATAACCACCCTCCAGCTCAGCTTTCAGTTTAGAGCAAGATCCGTAAAACTGATCTGAGCTGTCGTGTGCATTACACAAACACACGGACACATGCATACATAATTCATAATTCATACAGACAAACAGCCAGACAGTGTCGACAGATGCACCACATGCATTCACAGAGATAGACAGTCGAAGCTTGTACGTACACGAACCAATCAATCCAATCAATTAATCAACCAGTCAATCAATCATTCAACCAATCAATCAACTGACTAGATAGGACAGGGGAAGCTGCAGTCAACAAAGGGATGCTCCAACTTGAAACTTTCAAACGCCAAAAACAAAGGCAACAGGCATCTTCATCCGACAAAACCGAAGCATTTCCTCCGACTGCACAACTTACCTCGCACAAGGGCGGAGATGAAAGACCACATGGCCGTGGTGTTTGTGATGCTGGTTTAAGTTTGCTATTCGTCACCCCTTTGACGGCCAACACATCGCGTGGCTTCGGAGACACAGTGGCCACTGGCTAGATAGGACAGGGTGAATGTGTCTCGGTCGGTCGGCATACCGAGTAAGCAGAGTATCTCTCTCGCTTTACTTACAAATCCCAATGATCGCGTACAAGTCTCAGACGGCTCCTCAGTCAGTCACTTCGTATTTCGCTTGCCGGCGCAAACCAGTGCCAATCGGGACAAGAAGGGCAATGGACGGCCATGCATTGTCTGTATGCATTGACAAAAGAGCCCTGTTTTCTGACACACCGTCGAACCATGACGTCTCACGACCGACTTTCGCTGCCACGTCTATGTCTCAGCTCTCCATCTATCGCCGCAACAGTGCAACGCAACTCAAATTTATGAATGCAGGTAGCCACTAGGTGGGGAGGAAAAGGACCAGAGCTGTCGTGTGCATCCCCCGGCCCACATACCGCCAGGTTTCGAATCCCAGCACCTGTATGGCGAAACGCACCGCGTTTCATTTGTAGATGGGACTCCACGCGTACGTTCCAAGAGGCAAATGGCCATAGAGGTGCTCCATTTCTGTCCATCGCTTCGCATCAATCTCTCAATCGTGTTGCAAGGTGACTCAATTCAGTGCATGGACTCACTCGAATCTCCCTCTCCGATGGACAACGCTTCGCTAGGAAAAGAGGGAAAGCCCTCCAGCGTCAGCGGCGCAGAACAGTACGAAATAATTTCGAAAGGACGTCCGCTCGGATGATGAACCGCTCCTGAGCGGTTGACGCCGCTCCTGGGCGAAATGGATGGCCACGGGCTGGACATTGCTGCCATTTTCCTTCCATTCCGAGGGACAGAGGTCCGATTCGTTGATCTTTTCGGTACTTGTCGAATTTTCAGTGATCCCAGCTATTCCCATCCTTTCGGTGACTCGTACCTAACGATTGTGGACCTGCCTACTTGATCGCTCAAGAGGGAAGTCAAAACCAGCCAAGCTCAAGGCGTCAAGGCGTGCCGTGAGGCAGATAGAGAGCTGTGTTGCCGAGGTTGTTGGCTTCAGCAGCTGTCGGGAGTGTGTGTGTCAGTCGTGTCAATGCCTGCCGTTGTTAGCAGGTGTGGTTCAGTGCTGAGTGTGACTCCTCGTGATCGCGTGAGACCTTATTCGTGTGCGTGTGCCTGTCGTTGAATCGTGAGTGTCTCTCATCGATAAGCATCAGTAGAGCATCGAGTAAGCGCTATCTCTATAGCGCGAACCCCATTCGAGCTGGGCCTTGACCACTCCTGGTGAGGGGCCTGGTGGCAATCGCGTCCATTCATGCACTGTTCCCTCCTTTCCGTCTTGGTTGCTCCGTGACCTTTCCGAGCCCCGTCATCCTGTCCGTTGTACCCTTTTACACACGTATTACGTCCGACATCATCAAAATAGCCATGGGCATCAGCACCCGCGAGAGCTAGTGGTACATTCAGATATGCCTCGCATGGGTCGTCCATGGGGTCGTCAGAAATATGAACCATGTGCTTTCCCGCCTTCTCATTCATACATCCATCAGCAGCCGTATGCATATTCATCAGCTCATGCAGTCTTCCGTCTCCATCCGCACCAGCAGCCAAAACTCTCTCTCTCTCTCTCTGCCTTCTAGCCGGCAGGGATGATGACGGTGGGGGGGTGAGTGAGAGGGGAGACACGGAGACACGGCTTCGTGCGGTGGGCTTGTAGATGACGACGGAGAGCACAAGTATTTCTGAGGGAGGACAGGAAGTCAGAAGCTCGAAATCGTTAAGGCAAGAAGGAATGTGGATGAGCGCTGTACATGTTTCTTTTGTTTGCTCTGTTCGCCTTGGTTCGAGCACTAGTTTTTTTGTTTGAGGCCGTTCCTGTGCTTGTTTCGAATGTGTCGATGATTACCATGGCCACTGGAGCGAAGCTTCGTCGAATTTGCGATTCACATAAACGCAGGTAAACCTAGTCAAACATTATAGTTGTCATTACACACACACGGACAATCTTATCCTCAACCACCACCACCACCCTTACATAAATATTGGATGATGGCGTTTGGCGCATTTGCATTCCATAGTCTACAACGCCGTATGCGGGTTACCATGGCGTTCCGGCCAACCGTTCTGATGCTGGCAGTAGTGCTGGCGGCTTCAGACAACATTCGGGACCGCCCCATTGCCGCCGACAGAGTGCTGGAAGATCAGCGATGCTCGGCGGAGCAGAAGCACTGCCAGAAGTGTGGGAAGGCGGCCAACGGACAAGAGGTTTGTGAGCTGTGTGAAGCAGCCTTCTTTCTACGGGGGACGAACTGCGCACGTGAGCCAAACTTCACAGAGGAAGGGGGCTATCTGTCCTTGGCGTATCTGGCGTATCTGGTGTCGTTATTTAGATATCTACCAGTGTGGAGTGTTGAGTGACGTGGTCATCGGTGAAGGCCAAGCAAATGACGTCGCGCAAGCAGGGTGTGCGCCTTAAGTAGGTCTCCACCTCCCTCCATCCCATGTTTCTTCTCCTCAGGCTTGTTTCTTCCTTCGCTGAGTGTCATCACCAATGTGCCACGACACCCAAATGCCAAGCATTGTCGTTTTACATCGACGGCCGTTGCGTCCTCAAAGATGGTTCTGCTCTTAAGAAAATGAGCTTTGAGCTGGGAGTCAAGAGTGCCAGGCTCGACTGCGAGAAGGTGGACGACGTGGTACGAAGAGGCTGCCAACTATCCCGTTGTGGAATGTGCGGCGAGAGGGAGGGGGATTGTTTGCAGTGCCGTAGTGGTTTTATAAGGAATGCCGAGGGAAAATGCGAATTCGAACACGACGAAGGTGGAGAACCATTGAAAGATTGCAGAGAACCTCGTGAACACTGTTGCTGTCGTTCTCTTGTGCAGATGTCGAGTGGCCAAACATCAGCTCTCCGACGTATAGCAAGTTAGAGACTATCAGAGACGAAGTGGCACGGGTTGTCGGCCAGATGACCATCGAACAAAAGATCGGGCAAATGACAATGGCTATCCAGTATGGGTTGAGCCCCATCGACATGAAGGCCAACTACATCGGGTCGTACCACGAGGGTGGCGACGCCGATATCGGTGACAACTCAGCACAAGAGTGGGTCAGGCTTTCAGATCGTTACTGGAACGCAACCACGGATGTCGACGACGCGGTCATCCACCCCCTTCACGGGCTCGATGCCGTCCACGGGCACGGCAACGTCCCCACGGCGACATTGTTCCCGCACAACATTGGTTTAGGGTGTGCCAATGAGTCCGCCCTCATGAGGGAGATTGGCAAGATAACCGCGAAGGAGATGGTGGCCACGGGAGTTGACTGGGCGTTCGCGCCAAGCCATGCGGTGGCGCAGAACTGGCGGTGGGGGAGAACGTACGAGTCGTTCAGCCAGGTGAGAAACCAAGTCACGAGTGCGTGCGGATGGACGGTTGTGCTGCTGTCTGTGTCTGCAGATACCAGAGACCGTCGAGAGGCTTGCAAGGGAGTTGGTCACCGGTATAGTGATCGGCTCCCACACATCATCTCTTTCATATCTGACCTGTTGCACGCCCGTGCCTTCAGGCCTTCAGGGCGATCCGGCTTCGTTATTTCTCGGTGAGGAAAATGTCTTGGCGTGCGCCAAGCACTTTGGGGGGGACGGGGGCACCCAGGGAGGGCTCGACAAGGGAGACTTTCGTGGGAGGCTGCAAGAGCTGAAAGACACTCATGTGTCGCCCTACTTCGGCTCCATCCAGGAAGGCGTACTGACAATCATGGCATCGTTCAATTCGTGGAACGGCGTGAAGGCGCACGGGAATGAATTTCTTCTGAGGGACGTGTTAAAGAGGAAGCTGGGCTTTTCTGGGCTGGTAGTCGGTGATTGGTGGGGGCATGAAGAGGTGGAGGGGTGCTCGAGGTTTCTGTGCGAGCAGGCAGTCGAAGCAGGTCAGAATAGAAATGTGCTGGAACAAAGCAGAGACAAATGTGTGTGTGTGTGTGTGTGTGTGTGTGTTCCTTTGTTTTTTGTGCTTGTACAGGTGTTGACGTTATGATGGTTGTGGGGGATTGGAAGAAGTATATCCCCAACACGATCAGCTCAGCCAAAAAGGGCGGCATCACGGCAGAGAAGATCGACGATTCCGTCACACGAATTCTCACCGTCAAAGCACTCTACGGTGCCATGACCACTCCCGCTCTGCGAGCAGCAGGCATAAAGGAGCGAGCCTCCCCGTCGCAGCGGCCTGGCGCAGGACAGTTGTCGGTCTTGGAGACTGCCGAGCATCGCGAGACGGCACGAGAAGCTGTGCGGAAATCTCTGGTCATGCTCAAGAATGGTGTCAAAGGAGCGACAGGCAAACCTATACCCCTGTCCACAACGGGCAAGTATCTTGTCGCTGGGAGGTGTGCAGACAATATCGGCCTGCAGAATGGGGGATGGACGAAAGACTGGTAAGTGCGTGGCCCTTAACATCACCACACACAGCTCTCTATGGGCCATTTGGCCGGCTAATCAGTCCTACACTCATCGCTCTCATAGGCAAGGCAGTGCCAACTACCCCAACCACCTTTTCGGGAGGATCAGTGAATCCATCTACGAAGGATTCAAGAAAGCTACGGAGGGCGGCGGGTCGGCAACCCTCTACCAGATACGCGATGGAGAAATTCCAGACCTCAGCAGCTACGATGCCCTCATCTTCTGTACTGGAGAAGATCCATACTCAGGTCAAAACGGATCGGACACTCACATATGTGCATCATGTCCTGGCTGAATGGTTTCTTTCGCAACCAGAGTATCTCGGTGATAGGCACTGGCCAGCATCGATGGAATTTGGAATGTCAGCTGTCGGCGTTCCCGAGAGACAATTCCTCAATGAGGTCCGGATTAAGTACCCATCTTTGACCATCGTGACCATCTTGTGCTCGGGCCGCCCGCTCTACATGAACGAAGAGATGAACCTGAGCGATGCCTTCATCGCGGCGTGGCTACCTGGGACACAAGGTGGCGGGGTGGCAGACGTGCTCTTCGGGAAGAACGACTTCGTGGGCAAGTTGTCATTTCAGTGGCCATTGGATCCGTGTCTGACTACGCAGTACAATGGCACCCATGGGGATGATCCGCCCTTCAGTAATCTGATGCTGCCGATTGGATACGGGCTAGCGTATGACGACGAGTCGCCGATTCCAACCCTTAAAGTTGACCACTTGCGAGTGAGAAAGACAGACTTCTCTTTACGATCTCTCGATTTGCTCGTGGCTTGTTTGCAGACTTGCACAAATCACGTGAGGACCAAGACGAAAATATAGGTCTGCAGGGCCATATTGCTGTTTTGGTGTCGCGTCATGCATGTCGTCCTTGTACAAATTGGCGGGCAAATTGCGTGTTGTTCATGTCCCGATTATAGGCAGGAAATGCAGAGACAGATTATCAGCTTTGTAAGTTGTCACGTGCACACTGTTACACTGCGCCCTCAACAGCGCCTGGAAAATTGCACTCAATCGATCGCTGCTCTGGTGGATCCGGAGAATGTAGCACAATACAAGCGGAATACGATCCAAAGCTAGCCCTGCCCCATGTGCCCTGTGGGTGGATATCCGCCTTGCAGCCATAGGGCCAGCCCTGTAAGTGCAAGGCTAGCCCTGTCGCCATAGGGCGAGCCTTACAGCCATAGGGCGTGAGTGAACTCTGACCGTGATTCATTCATCGATAAAGCAGCATTGAGTCACCACGTATGAGTCAACACACACAAGCAAAATCCGCCGAACGTCACCAACACACCAACACACAGAGACAATAAACGATCCTTCCATCCACCCAGCGTCGACCGCCAGGCGATCCTCGACAAGCTCCTTCGTTCGTTCGTTCGTTAACCTCACGGGGACCTTGCCCCCCGGCCCCCCGAAGGGGTACTCAAGAAAGAGTCTGTGTGAGTCCATAGAAAATCACGAGTCCGGAGAAGGAAGCATTGGATGCAACGCAACCCACCGCTTTCGCGAGGTCGCAGAAAGTAGAAAAGCGGCTACCGCTTCATGCACATGCAGTGAGCGAGAGGTGAGCAAAGAAAAGGCAAACACAAGAGGATCACAATAATTGAGATCCCATCGAAAGTAAACCTTGCCATCAGGCGCCGCAAGGCCATACATACGAACAACACGGAATACTTCCCCTCGTGCAGAGCTGTGGAGGGGACAGCAGAAAAGAATATGCAGCTCATCCTCAACAGGTGGCACCCACATGTGAGGCAAGAAAAACGGTGCAATAAGGGCAAGAGCGTAGTAAAGGGCCACCGATACGCCCATCAGTAACTGAACAAGGATATGTGCCGGTCCGAAAAGCGAACAGCACACGACGCTTGGGTCTAGGTAGTGAAAAGTAGCATGGAAAGGTGGACAAAGACTGGATAAGGCGATGAAGCCAGTCTTGGCCTGACTCAATAATGAAATCATCAAGCTCGACACAAAGTGGCCATCCCTCGTCGACTTCTTCTGGGTGAGCTCAAAGGGTTAGCGTAAGGTGGGATGTCGAGAGGTCGCCTGGGCTGGCAGCTGCTCTTCATCACGTAGCTCGCTGCACTTCCTACAGTTCCCGAAGATGTGTCGGCAAATTCTAGACCCCGGCGGGACCGGGGGATGCACACGACAGCCCTTGTCCGTTTTTCCTCAGTGCAGAACACGTGCGTGAAATCCATCTAATGAGGGGTATGACGGGCATGTGCAACTGCACTGCCATGTACGTGTAAACTGCGATTTTGTGAGCAGACTGGGATGGGCGACGTCGAGACACGTTTTGGTTGACGGTGTGGTGATGTCGATGTGGAACCGCGTGGCGGTTGGCTTGGTTGCAGTTGAAACGTTTGCAACCGCTCACTTCTTCACGGATAATCAGAAAAGAGATC